TCCAGGGTCAATTCACCTCACAAGACCCACGGAGAATGTGGAGGGGCATTAAATGTATAACAGTATTGGTATTGGTAGTATTGATAAAAACCTTCCGGCGAGTGAACGCTGGCGCATCCTGGCTGCCGCTGCTCGTCGTGCTTTTTTGCTTTTTTCTTGTTTCTGTTTTATTCTCCTTCCTGCCTTTTCCACTACACCAAGTCTCTGATCTGCCTCAATATCAACCATGCAGTTAATTAGGATTTACCTGCTGCCTGCTCTGGTTTGGATACTCCAGCTGCTCATCCACCACCACCCGGCGTCTGGCCTTCTCCATTACTTAGTGGTCGAGCTCCTTCGCCTTCGTTTCCTACCGGCCGTGCCGCCTGTGCTTCTTCTTCAGGACATTGCCTTCCATCCTCGCCGGAGATACATTCACCGTGGCTCCCGCCATAGACTCCACGCTGACAAGACTAACTCCATAAACTCCATCTGGTCTGACTCTCACCATTCCACACGCCGCAATACTCGGGCCGCTTACAGTAGTAGCATGTTAGCCAGCCTATCTCGGTCGGCTAATGCTCCAGTCGCTACCAACTCCTCCTCCATAAAGTTTGGCTTTCTGAACATTCGCTCACTCACTGGCAAAGGTCAGCTTATTCAAGATCTAATATCTGACCGTAAGCTAGATTTTATTTGTCTAACAAAAACGTGGCAACAACAAAATGACTTTTTCCATCTGAATGAATCTAACCCACCAGGGTTTGTTTACATCGCCAAATCCCGCGAGTCCGGCCGCGGAGGAGGTCTCGCAATAATTCACCGCGCGAACTGGAAGGCCATGCCGGTCCACACACCTCCCTCTCCCTCCTTTGAGCACACTGTGTGTCTACTCTCCAGCCCTACCCCCACCATTGTTGCCATTTTCTACCGTCCGCCTAAAATCAACAACTCTTATAAATTACTTTGCTGCTCTAATCGCCCATCTCTCAGCTCTTTCACCCAACATTATTCTGCTTGGAGACTTCAACATTCATATGGATAAAGACAACAACCCCCTCACCAGAGACTTCACATCCTGCCTTGACAGCTGTGGCTTCCAGCAGTTCATTAACTTTCCAACCCACATAAAGGGCCACACTTTGGACTTACTATGCTGCTCTGCACTCTCTCCTCTTAACAGTTCTTCTGAACTTCCATTTACTGATCAGCTGATGATTTCATTCAATGTCAATCTTAAATTTTCTTCAGAGAAACATCAACGCACTCTTTCCTTCCGTAATATTAAGAATATCAACCATGATATTCTTTTACCACATTTTAATAATACCTTTATCACCTTTTTTCTAACCCAGATGACCTTGTCACATTCTACAATAACAACCTCACCAACATCCTTAACTCTGTTGCTCCTTTGAAAATCCGGTCTGTCTCCTTCTCCAACTCTGCACCCTGGTTCACTCCAGAACTCCATTCTCTGAAATCCAAAGGTCGGAGGTTGGAACGACTCTATAAGAAATCCGGTCTCTCAATTCACAAGGAACTCTATGCGAACCACATCATCCAGTATAAGGACAGTATTTCTCAAGCCAAATCCAGCTACTTCTCTGACATCATCAGGTCCAATGTTGGCAATTCAAAGACTTTGTTCTCTTTCCTTAACCATTCAGTCTCATCTCCTAACTCATTACCCTCTCACATGGTTTCCACATAATTTTGCAACTCTCTGATGTCCTATTTCAATGAAAAGATTCTTTCAATTCATAAACACCCTGGACCTAATACCGCCCCCAGCATCTATGTTGAACTCCCCCCTCCCTCCCTCCCCTTCTCGGTCTTCTCCCTCCCCTCTGCTGATGACATTGCTGACATTTTCAGCAAGTCTAAATACTCATCCTGTCAGCTTGATCCATTTCCCACAGTTCTTGTTAAATCCTGTCTCCCGTCTCTGCTCCCCATCATCACTAACATCATCCACTCCTCCCTAACCTCTGGCGTTGTTCCCACAGCTTTCAAATCTGCTGCCATCACCCCCATCATCAAGAAGCCAGGTCTTGATTTTACCAACTTCAGTAATCTTCGTCCGATCTCTAATCTGCCCTTTATTTCCAAGGTTCTTGAAAAAGTCGTTGCTAGTCAACTTCACTCACACCTATCCAACAATAACATTTATGAAGAGTTTCAATCTGGTTTTCGCCCCCACCATAGCACCGAAACAGCTCTAATAAAAATAACCAATGAGCTTCTTCTTGCTGCTGACTCCGGACTTCTCTCTATCCTCATTCTACTTGATCAAAGTTCTGCCTTCGACACAATCTGTCATTCTATCCTCCTCAACAGACTAACCTCCAATGGCATCTCAGGTACTCCATTAGAATGGTTCAAATCTTATCTCTCTGACAGCACTCAATTCAGTCAGCTTAAATCCTTTCATTCCCAGTCTTCCCCCGTCTCCACGGGTGTCCCCCAAGGCTCTGTCCTTGGACCCCTCCTCTTCATCATTTACCTCCTTCCTCTAGGTCACATCTTCCGTAAATTTGGTGTTCATTTCCACTGTTATGCTAACGACACACAGCTCTACTTGTCAACAAAACCAAACTCCACCCACCCACCCTCCATTCTCACCGACAGTCTCAATGAACTAAATCATCGGTTTTCTAACAATTTCCTACAACTAAACAGTGACAAAACGGAAATCATTCTTGTCGGTTCCAAAAACTCTATTTCAAAATCAGAACATCTTCTCATTCCCCTTAACAACTCTCTGCTATCCCCCTCACCTCAGGTCAAGAGTCTTGGTGTCATCCTCGACACCACTCTCTCCTTCACTTCACACATCAACAATGTTACTCAGTCTGCCTATTTCCATCTCTGAAATATTAACCGTCTCCGCCCTTCTCTCACACCCCGCTCCACAGCCATCCTTGTGCACAATCTTGTGACTTCTCGGATTTACTACTGCAAACCCCTTCTTTATGGCCTCCCCAACAAATCTCTTCAGAAGCTGCAAATGGTCCAGAACTCAGCTGCTCATGTCATCACTCAAACCTCCTCCTATAATCACATCACTCCTGTCCTGCTGCAACTCCACTGGCTCTCGGTTAAGTCACGCATCGTCTTCAAAATTCTTCTTCTCACTTTCAAAGCCATCCACAACCTTGCCCCTCCTTATCTATCTGACCTCCTACACATCTCCATCCCTCTCGCTCTCTCAGATCCTCCTCTTCACTACACCTCCATGTACCCTCTGCCCGCCTCTCCACCATGGGGAGCAGGGCCTTCACCTGCTCTGCCCCTCATCTCTGGAACTCTCTACCCCCTGACTTACGAAACACCACCTCTCTTTCTCTATTCAAGACTGCTCTGAAAACACATTTCTTTAGACTTGCGTATCCTTAACTTTGCTGTATGTATTTTATATTCTTTATGTATTTTATATTCTGTATGTATTTGATATTCTGTATGTATTTTATATTTCAATTTATTCCTGTTGATCTTTGCACTGTGCTTGTTTGTTTTAATACAATCTTTCTGATATGTTTCTTACTGTATAGTGTCCTTGGGTGTCCTGAAAGGCGCTTTTTAAATAAAATGATGATGATTATTATTATATAACAGATTATAAAGGCAGAGGCGCACAATGCCCTAGAGATTCATCACTGCCTGATGCCCTCAACAGGTCCTACACATGCTTTGAAGACTTGAACAAACCACCCAGCACCAGACTCACCTCACCACCGGAAGAAGAATTTCTCAGCGTGACCTCAGCCGAAGTGAGTAGTACTTTCAGGAGGATTATTCCTCACAAAGTAACTGGCCCAGACAATATCCCTGGGAAGGTGCTGATAGACTGTACTGATAAGCTCTGTGAGGTGCTGGCAGACATCTTTAACTCCTCACTCACCCTGGCAACAGTTCCCACCTGCCTCAAGACTGCCACCATCATCCCAGTCCCAAAGAGCTCTACAGTGACTGGTCTGAAGGACTATCGGCTAGTAGTCCTCACCCTGATAGTCACTAAATGCTTCGAAAGACTGCTCATGACCCACATCAAAACAATCATCAACATCAGCGAGGACCCTCACCAGTATGCATACCACAAGAATCAATCAACAGAAGACGCCATCTCCTCTGTGGTCCACACTGCTCTTACCCACCTGGAGCAGAAGGACTCCTACATCCGTATGCTTTTTGTGGACTTCAGGTCTGCCTTCAATACCATGATCCCTCAAACACTGATGGACAAAATAGTCACACTAGGACTAAGCCCCTCTATGTGCAACTGGGTCCTAGACGTCTTAACAAACAGACCATAATCTGTGAGGATCCACAACTTCTCCTCCTCCACCATAACCCTCAGCACTGGCTCCACAGTGTGGCTGCACAGAAGACTGTTGGAGTCAGTCTCCCCACCATCACAGACATCTACACCTCCAAATGTAGGAAGAGGGCCACCTGCATTGTGAAGGATCCCACTCACCCAGCACACACACTCCCCCCCACCCGCCCCCCCGCTCCCCTCAAGCAGGAGGTTGAGGAGCATTAAATGTAGAATCACTAGACTGAGTAGACTGAGGAACAGCTTCTACCCTGAGGCTGTTAGACTCATGAGTCCCTAACCAGGACAATCAATGTGGAAAAATCACATCATGTTGCTGATTTGTTTCCTGCTGCTGTGTTCATTCATTCTTATCTGCTCACACAGACTTATGTTTGTGCTGCTGTTCTGCGTATTGTTTTTGTACTACTAGTGCTTGGTGTATTTTTAGTTAACGTTTTTCTAAGTTCATATCATAGATCTTTTTTACTGTTTTTCTTTTATATTTCATACTTTCATTGGATATAACTGGAACCCTGTGTACACAATTTTGTTCCATCACATGTACCACATGTGGTGCGTATGACAAATAAAGAAACTCTGACTCTCTGAATGAAACACTAAATGTCTACCAGTGGATATGATGGCACAGAAAATGAGGATTAATGCATAAGAACAGAAAGCTTCAGGAAGTTTTACGTACTCTCAGCACAGGGGGATATGTACTCAATAACAGCCTGATCACCTGAAAGATAAACACAGCAGGAGTGAGGAGAGACCAACACAGAGATGGATGTGGTGCAGAAGGTCAGGGGAAGTTTCAGGAAGGTCTTACTTGTCTGGTAGTAATCGTAGACTTTGACCACAGCTGGTTTCAGGTTCCTGACCTGTTGATCCTCGTTCAGAGTCACACTGAACACCTGCTTCATATCCTTCTTCAGCTGTAAGCACAAACATCCAGCACACCTGTTCACTATTTACACTCTCACAGGTGCACAGACAAAAATCTGATGGCTCTCATCATTAATTAAAACGCACAAGGCCTAAAAGCTACGCACCTCGTTCACGTAGATGTTGATAAATCCTTTGTCCATGTCCACGCGCTTCACTGAGGTGTAGTTCTGCAGCTGTAGCAGCAGACGGACATCAGTACACAGTCATTTGGCAACTTGTTACAGCAGTCATTTCAATTAATTTAATTTTCATTTATTTATTTCTATAGCGCTTTACACAACCACGGTGATGGTGACCAAAGTGCTTAACAAAAACAGTAATTAAAATGACAACAAGTTAAAAGCAAGAAAAAAAAAAAAAAAAAAAAAAAAAAAAAAGAAAACCAGAAATGTCACCACACATTTAAGTACTAAAAGCCTGTTGGAATAAAACGTCTTAAGCTTTGGTTTAAAAGAGCCAAGTTCAGTAATCTGACGTAGATCAAGCGGGAGCTTATTCCAGAGTCGAGGTGCGGCTGCAGAAAAGGCACGGTCACCCCAGCGTTTATATTTTGTCCTTGGAAAAGAGAGCAGGAGCTGTCTGACCTCAGAGACCTGGAAGGGGCGGGGAAACTTAACAACTCTGTTATATAAGGAGGAGCGAGGCCATTCAGAGCTTTAAAAACAAATAATAAAAATTTTAAATCTATTCTAAAATGGACAGGAAGCCAATGTAGTGAGAGTAAAACAGCATCACACCCGGTCCCATCTAGGAGTGTTGGTTAAAAGGCGAACTGCTGCATTTTGAACAAGCTGGAGGCGGCTCAGAGATGACTGAGGTACACAGACATACAGAGCGTTACAATAATCGAGTCTAGAACTGATAAAAGCATGAACAGCCTTCTCCAAGTCACAAAAGTTCAAAAAGGGTTTGCCCTTTTTAAAAGGCGTAAATGAAAAAATCCAGACCGGACAACACAGGCGATATGTTTGTCAAAGTGTAAAGCCTTATCAAAGGTAACCCCAAGGTTTCTCACACAGTCACTGAAGTTAATATTCAAATTTCCCAGGCCAGTTGCATCTTTGTCACCAAATAAAATCCATTCTGTTTCATTATTTAAAAACACGAAGTTCTTGTTTAGCCAGTGTTTGATTGCAGAGATTCAGTCAAAGAGAGAAAGCACTGGGTTACTGGATCCAGGCCTTAATGGTAAATAGATTTGCAAATTGTCTGCATAAAAATGAAAGTTGACATTATGGTGTCTTATAATAGATCAAAGTGGCAACATGTACAAGGAAAAGAGCAGAGGGCCCATAATGGAACCCTGGGGCACCCCACACAGAAGAGGGGCTGTAGAGGAAGAGGAGCCATTGAGCAAGATAGAAAAGATTCTGTCAGATAAGACGTGAACCACTTCAGAGCCGTGCCATGAATCCCGACAAAATCATGGAGGGAAGACAGAACAGAGTGGACCACAGTGTCAAAGGCCGCTGTAAGGTCAAGAAGCACCAGAGCTACTGGGTACCCAGAATCAACTGACTGAGCAATGCCATTATGAATTCTCAGTAATGCAGATTCTGTGCTATGCTGGGATCTAAAACCAGATTGAAATTTATCAGGATTGTGCTTTTTTTTCAAAAAAAGATTGAATTTGCATGAGAACAATTTTTTCTAAAACTTTGGAGAGGAAGGGTAAATTAGAAATAGGTCTAAAATTTGATAAAACCAATGGATCAAGATTAGTTGGGTTTTTTTTTTAGAAAGGGGCGGACAGTTGCATGTTTAAAAGCAGAAGGCATAATTCCAAGGATCAGACATGAATTGAAAAAAAGGAAGAAGGTAAGGATCAACAATATTTACCTCTTTCTATAATCTAGTAGGGAGAAAATCAGTGGGGCAGTTAGTGGGTTTAACGGATTTAACTATTTTGTCCAAGAGGGAATAAGACACTGGTTCAAACTGCTCGAATAAAGCAAAACCAGCAGAGATAACAAAAACCCCTCTAAAACAGAAGTAGTTGGTGTACCTGTGGCTTGTCTAACGGATGCAACTTTATCAATGAAAAGGAGAGAAAATTCTCACAGGTGGAGGCTGAGGCATCACGTAAGACAGGTGGGTGGATTTAAAACAGAGGTAATTGTATTAAATAACACCCTGGAACAGTGGCTATTGTTTGTGATGTTAGACAGAAATTGTGATTTTGCATCATTAACGGAGCTCTGATACAGAACAAGAGTTCTTAATAAAAACCAAAGAATTATGCTGTCTGTCATGCTTCCACCGTCTTTCAGCCCTTCTACACTGCCTCCTGAGTTCGCATGCAGTAGGATTTTTCAGCCAAGGCTCAGCTCTGAATTTAGGGTGTCTGAACTTGACTGGATTTTTTAGTCCAGGATTCCAGTGCAGGTTTCAGAAAACAGTGACAAAAAAATCTTTGGGACACAGAGAAACATCAGGACACACTGAATAAAACTGTGAGTCCATAAAAGCAGTGGTAAATTGTCCAGCACTGGCTGAGGTGAGACAGCGGCGATAACAACCCACAGCCAGAGACCTCCTGGCCAAGTGAGGGGCTGTGAATTGGAAAAAAATAGGGAAATGATCCGAGATGGCAGACTCAGAAATTTCACAGTGAGAAATAGACAGTCCATGAGAAATAATAAGGTCCAGAGTATGGCCAAGATGATGTGTTGGCACATTTACTGATTGTGTTAAATTAAAAGAGGCCAAAAGCCTTAAAAACTCAGAAGCCAGTGAGTCAGTGGGACAACAAACATGAATATTAAAATCACCACAAATTAAAAAACTGTCATAGTTGGAAATAATACAGCAAGGAATTCAGAGAATCCTTGGATGAATTATTTATTATATTCAGGTGGGCGATAGGCAACAGCACATAAAATAGTGGGGGTGAGCTCAATTATAAACATCTGAAGTTCAAAGGAGGAATAAGTGTTGGTGGGCAGAAGTCTGCATTTAAAATTGTTCTTATTGATAGTGGCAACACCACCACCATGGCCTGACAGGCATGGGGAGCTGAAAAAGGAGCAGCCCGAGGGGGAGATCTCAGAAAACGCGCTGTTGTTGCCTGGTCTCAGTCATGTTTCTGTCAGCAGCAGAAAGTCCAGAGAGTTTGATCAGAAGAAATCGTGGAGAATAAAAGTTTTATTTATGACTGATCTAGTGTTTAGAAGGGCCATCCGGATGGAGCACAGGCTGTTATCCTGGGAAGTGCGACCAAAGGAGCAGAGGTTCTCCTGAACCTTGCCACATCTACAGATCTTTGCACACCGCAGACCAGGAAATGCGCATCTGACAGTGTCCGTATCTATGACGCGTAGCCAGCTGTAGAAATATTCCATGGGGTACCGTATGTCAACAACGTTGTATTTCCTGAGAATCCTGCGCGAAGACTGGAATGAAGAAGAGGCAAATGATCCGGAGCTTCACAAGCAATAACCCACCCCTCCTGCTGCGTCTCCTACGACGGCGCCCGCTGCGGGCAACCACAACACAAGGATTCTGTAGAAATGAAGATATGGATGCCAGGTGAGATGGAGGAAAAGTCTTTGATTGTCCATAAAGGTCACGAAGCGGTACTTTCCCCATAATGGAATTAATATTTAGAAGTGTCTGGCGGTCATAGGTAAACAATGATGACACAATCTGAACAAAATTTAGGAAAAACAGCATAACAAGTAACTTGAGGAGCGATAGACGGCAACCCACGTACAACGGTGCCATCTTGCGGCAGTCATGGCTGTACAGATGGTGAACTGACCTGCTTTATGGAGTCCTGATCCAGAACATATCCAGAAAGAAGTTTGATATTAACGATGACCATGTTGGTTTCCTCTCTCCTGCCCTGATACCTGCAGAAGCCCAACACACAGCAGCACACATTAGGTTTTTGTCTCCATCACATCACACAGATATGAGGGTCAATCCAAACCACCACAACAGTCCTACCTGACATTAACCAAAAGGATGAGCTGTGGCTGTGCAGTGCTACATTTAGCCACAGTGCTCGTAGTGATGAGGAAGGCAGAGAAATCATTTGAAGGTGGGATGTTGTAGTACACAGAAATCTGCAAAAAAAAACCAAACGGTTACAGACCAACACTGCTGGAAACCAAGAGGAGGCATCAACACCATAACTCAGATGTTTGGTTGAGAAAACAGCAACAACCAAAACATTTTACACTTTTGTCATGCAAAAGTGTAGAATGTTTAATAATGTGGAGTTCCAGACCAGCATCATTAAGAGAAAGACAAATTTTTTTAGCCAAAGTTTAAGTCGAAGACCACAAGGAGGGAAATGTGTCAGGAAACAGAGAGTGAAGAAGAAAATCAAGAATGTAGGACTGAGGGTGGATTTCTAAATGTGGAGACAATGACAGGCAAAGGTAGAGAGCTGATGATGATGCAGAGAAGGAAGGTAGATGTTTTATGTGTCTGAGGCCAAGTAGAAGGGCAGCAAGGCTCACAGCATTGGAGCAGGGCTTCAATTGTTTTACCATTGTGTGGATATAAAGAGAAATGGAGTAGGGGTGGTCCTGAAAGAGGAGTTGGCAAAGAACATAGTAGAAGTGAAAAGAGTGTCAGATAGGGTGATGTGCCTGAAGGTAGAAGAAGTAAATGTTCTGATGCTAAATGTTGTCAGTGGTTATGCCCCACAGGTTGGGTGTGATGTGGAGGAGAAAGATACATTTTGGAAAGATCTGGATCAAGTGATAGATAATATTCCCAAGGAGGAGAGAGTGGTGATCAGAACAGACCTGGATGGACATGTTGGTTTAATAATAATAAATTAAAGGGCTGATGTGGCAGCATAAACTTACAATGGGAGATAATCAGGACGGGACCAAGACAGGATCAGGACAGGACAAGGCAATACCTACAGATGACGCGACAAAGGACAAGACTCACAGACAGACTTATACACAGACAGGACAGGACATAATTACAAACAGCTGTGAACAGAAGGTGCAAATGATCAAGAAT